ACCTAGCCACTTCTTCCCACTTTCGAATGATGTCTCCTGCTGAACAGCCTTCAAATATCTTCATAGACTTGACCCAATGAACCACCCTAACATATATTAATTCAATTGCTTTTTTCTTTCTCATGAAAAGTTCTTTGATTTATTTCCTCCCACACACTCCAGCAAACAACTGCTCTAGCACATCTCCACAAGAGTTTACCTCTCTTTTTTAAACCCCTCACTGATGTAGTACTAAATAAGCCCTGCACACTTGGAGGGGGAGTCCATCTGCAACCAAAAAGAGAGAAAGGCCAAACCCAGATTTTTGAAACAAAAGGGGCAAGAAACTAATAAGTGATAATAGTTCTCACCATTCTTCTTGCATAAGATGCACCAGTGTGGGGATAAACACCGATTAGGCCTTTTCTTTTAAAGTAGGTCACAAGTGTTACACTTTTCTAGGATAGCCTCCCAACAAAAGGCACCTACTCTGGGAGGAATTGGTCTACCCCAAACTTCTGAGACTAGGAAAGGAGAACCAAGGGTCAGATTGGACTGTGTTAATTTTTTGAAAAAAGAAGAGCAAGAGAAAGTACCCGAAAGAACAAGAGACCACACCCTACTGTCCACTCTAGAGGGGTTAATAACTACCTCCTCCAGAATCTTAAGCAAGTTAGAGATGGAGTCCAATTCAGAATCTCTGAGAGCCCTTCTAAACCCAGATTCCAATTAACTGCGGAATCAGACAAAGTAAGAAAGGTAGCAGGCTCATTTTTAAACCTTGAGAGGGAAAATAGAGAGGGGAACTGTTCTTTCAAAGGAATGTTTGCCACCCAAATATGTTCCTAGAATCTCACAGACACTAGAATAAAGATCATACCTGATAAAAGGAAGAAATGAAGGAAGGATGGCATGAATAGACTTCCAAGGAGATGCCCTTATAGCCCTAGATGAGATCCCCGTGTCCCAGCCGTCTGCCACTTGCCCGTGAATACTTGGGATTATTTTAGCCCACAAATTCTCCCTTTCTTTATTCAATCTCCATAACCATTTCCCCAAGGAGCTTCATTCTTCTTCTTTAAGTTACCCACACCTAGACCACCATCACTTTTGGCTTTTGTAACCAAGTCCCACCTAACTCTATGGTCCCTTTTCTCCTCCTCTGGTTCCCGTAAGAAACCCCTCATTAATTTCTCCAAAATCCTACATACTCCCTTAGGAATTCTAAACACAGACAGAAAGTAAATTGGGAGATTTGCAAAGGTTGGCTTAATCAGAGTTATCCTGCCACCTAGAGATAGGTAGTTTTTCTTCCAAGAGGCTAGCCTTTTTATGAATCTATCAATCATTGGGTTCCAAAAGCTCCTCTTGGTAGGGTTATCCCCTAGTGGAAGCCCCAAATATTTCAATGGCCATTGAGCAATCTCACAACCCAAAACTTGGGCTCTTTCTTCCACCTCTCTAACACTCATATTAATGCCAATCACACAACTCTTATCAAAGTTTACTTTTAGGTTAGTCACTTGTTCAAACACCTTGATCACCATCTTTAAATTACTAACCCACCTAATTTCCTCCCCACCACAAAATAGAATTGTGTAATCAGCAAATTGTAAATGAATGACCGGAACCCTGTCCCTCCCAACTCTCCAATCATTTACCAATCTTCTAGCATCTGCTTTCTCATTAAGCCTCCCTAACACTTCAACAATCAAGGTAAATAGGAAAGGGGAGAGGGGGTCGCCTTGCTTAATACCCTTAGTAGTTGGAAAATGATCTGTTACCTTGCCATTCACCAGTATAGAATAGTGGCACGTTTTCATACACCCTTTTATCCACTTGCACCACATCTGCCCAAAACCAATAGACTCACATACTTCTTGCAATAAGGACCAATCAACCAAATCATAAGCTTTTTCCAGATCCAATTTGCATACCAGCACCTTGATTAGGGGACATGATTGTGGGAAGCACCTCTCTAATTCTTCGGGATAGCACCTTAGCAATGATCTTATAGAGGCTATGTACCAAACTTATGGGTCTAAACTCTTTAGGGTGGCAAGCTCCCTCCTTTTTTGGAATTAAGGCAATAAAGGTCAAGTTCAGGCCTGGATTTATCACCCCTCCTTCAAAGAATTCTAAGAAAACACTTTGGATATCAACCTTAATTATCTCCTAGCAATATTGGTAAAAAGCCATCGTAAAACCATCAGGGCCTGGGGCATTAGATCTATCCATAGAGAAAATGGCCTCCCTTATTTCTTCCAAATCAAACTCTCTTTCCAACCACTCAATCAAATCATCAGGGAGCCTAGGCCAATCCAACCCATCGATCCTTAATCTCTCATTTAGAGGCCTTCTGAGTATAGATTTGAAGTATTCCGCAAACGCCCCGACAATCTCATTCTGTTGGGTTAAATTGTACCATCAACCACCAACTTAGATATGGAGTTTTTCTTTCTTCTGCCATTAGCTATAGCATGGAAGAATTTTGTATTCCTCTCTCCTTTCACCCATTGGTATCTAGATTTTTGCCTCAAATTAATTTCTTCTTTAAAAATTGTATCCTCCAGATTTTTCCTCAACTCCCACTTCACCTCTTTGTCCTTTTCCCCAAAACATCCTTGTTCTTCCTTTGCAACTAATTCCTTGATCTGGCTTATCAACCGTTGCTTCCTTTCTCCTATCCTCCCAAAGGTGAAGAATATTCCACTCCTTAATTTTGACTTTCAGCTCTTTTAGTTTCCAGTGGAACTTCATTCCTGCCCAGTTTGCCCTCGGGTTAATTTCATTCCACCACTGCTTCACTTTCTCTTTAAAATCTAGATGCAGAAGCCACATATTCTCAAATCTAAAGGGGGAAGGACCACTATTTCCAAAATCTGCCTTGCTTAGCATAATTGGCCAATGGTCAGAGGTAACTCTCGGCAAGGCCCTTGACACCAAATCTCCCCAGTGCTCTTCCCAACCTATGGTAAATAAGAATCTGTCTAGTTGGGAGCAAATTGGATCAACTTGGAGATTAGACCAGGTGAAATTATAATGTGAGAGGTTCAGTTCCTTGAGTTCAAAGGCATTGATAAATTCGTTAAACTTTCTCATACTTGTAGTACTCCTTTGAAGTCCCCTCCTAAACACCAAGGCCCATCCCACAAACCTCTAATGTCTTCCAACTCATCCCACAGATCATTCCTTTGCTTGTAGCCAGTAGGGCCATAAACATTAGTTAAGACCCATTCAAACTCATTTGTCACTTGCTTGAATTTGATAGAAACTGAGAATCTTCCCATTAATTCTTCCACTCCCTCCAACACTTCATCTTTCCACAAAGTGACTATCCCTCCAGATGAGCCCCAAGATGGACTCATTACCCAACTCAATCCATTTGCTCTCCACACACTTCTAACCCACCTTTTATCAATTGTCATGAGTTTAGATTCCTGGATTAAAAAAATATCTGGGTTCTCTTTCCTTAGGACCTCCTTTATTAAAGCTCTCTTTCTTGCATTCCCCAAGCCTCTCACATTCCAACTTACAATCTTCATTACTCCAATATAGTCTGCCCCTTCCTAAACCTTCTTTCCTAAGAGCCTCCTTTTCTTCCCCTACCCTTCCTCTCACTAAATTCTTTATCCCCCTCCACATC